ACGACCACGATACGGTGAGGGATGATCTACAGGAAAAAAAACAGCAGAGTGTAACGATTCGTGACAGCGAGCATTGATTCACAATTGCTAGCGATTAATCTGTGGTAGGGTTCTTGGAACTGAAGCCTACGATTCTTCCCTTGTTGAACGCCGAAGGTAATGAGCGCGCAATGATAGTTCAATTTCCATTTCATCCTCTCTATTCCCTTAATGGCTTAAACTTTCCCTCCCTGTATTTGTTGGCTAAATACTCTCATTCATAGTTGGTGGGACAGCTAAGCTAGGATTTTATATATTTTACTTAATTAAATTAATAAGCTAAGATCCCCCAAAACTTCTGTCCCACTGTGTGAGATTAAAAATTAACTCAAAGATTGGGAGAAACAATGGAGATTGATTATGGATTTGGTGGGAGAATATCATGTGTAAATACCAAAATCAAACGGGTGATGGCACTACTACAAAATCGGATTTGGCCCGTCATTAAAGGAAAACAATGTCGAACAAGCGGGAATTAATGACAGGCATGGCCCGTCATTGTAGGTGACCGACATTGTAGCCTACGATGAAGGTTGCTTATAATGTCGGTCCACGACCGACATCTATTTCACTGTTATTGTAGTCGTCCGTCATTAAATGTTTCTTTTACAATGACATGCAATGCCCGTCATCAATTTGGTTAATAATTTAATAAAAAAAATTGTTGGTTGCTCAGGTAGCCAACCAACTATTTTTCCTCCTTTCTCATTGGATGCACAAATTTCATTAGCCAAATTCCAATTGTTTAACAAAAATCAAATTCAAGATGTATCACTAATTCACACTCAAACATTAATATCATTAATATATTTTACTAAAGTTAGAATAAAGATTCAATACTCATCCATCAAACATAATTCCAAAAGGAAAAAAAAAGTGAAAATTTCAACGTGAACTCTACCAACATAACTCAAATACACACCTGAAATATAATAACATATAACACACATCTATATATGTAAACATAATACATATATGACCACTCGTCCATTCACAAACCCAAATTCAACAACATCCAACACTTGTATATATGTAATATAATTGTAATAGGACCACTCATCCCTCCACAAACTACATTCAACAACGTATTCAACTCTTCTGAGTATTTCAATTCTACTAAGATAAAAAGCAACCCAACTACCTTGACATCACACAAACAAAATCAACAAATCCATAGCTAAGCTTACATAAATCTTCCAACAAAAGTTTCTCATTCTATTATAACCTTGTCAATTTCTACTTGAACTTATGTACACACTGCCACGATGGAGACGCGCGTGTTGGGTTTGCGTCCGCGTAGTGTTGAGACACTATACAATGTCTCGACACTGCAAAGCAGATTATTATATAACCATCTTTTTGGTTTGGGGTTGAGGCAGTTAGCTTTGGAGCTGAAATGTTGAGCAATTTTGTGGCGTTTCAGAGGTGACGGCTCGAGGTTGGCAGCATACGGAGGGACAAATCGAGATCAACATCTATGGGGTAATTATTTCTCGATTATTTTGTGATTCATTCATGTACCTAAGTTATATTATGTGAAATACTTATAAGTTAGGGGGCTTTTGTTAGGACCTCTAGATAGTGAATATCTGGAGATATTTGTAACCCTTGTATCCAATTCTCATTTAGTGGAATCCGCATCTTAACGGAAGACTGGAGGTAGCCTACAGTAAGGGTGAACAACTATAAATCTTTTTGTGTCATTTTCTGATTTCCCTTAATCTCGTATTTTTGTGATTGGTTTTGTCTATCGGGATAATAAATATAAAATTATAGTATTTGATACATATACTAAATTAGTGTTATTCTTAAATACAAAATTAGAGTATTTGATACAATACTAAATATTTTGGAAAGATTGTTTTTAGTGTATTAAAAAATAAAGTGGAAATATCGCAATATGCGGTATGGTAACATGTTAAAAGACTAGAATCTATAAAATGGTAAATATATTATAGTAGCCCTATACAAAGATGTAGTAATTTCTGGTTTAAATATTATTTTGGTTCTTGTATCTTCGACTTTTATTTATTTGGTCAATGTACTATCAAAATGTCAATTTTAGTTTCATACTTCAAACTTTTGTTCATTTTATTATGTATTTTAAAACGTTCGTTTTGGTTCTTGTACTTTTAAAAACAGATCATTTTGGACCCTATTTCATGAAGTTTTAACACAAATTTTATACACAAATGGAAACTCTTCCCTACAAATTTTATGGCTACATTTAAAGGAGTTTAGTGAACGAAGCCAACCATAGCTCAACGAGTTAAAGTCACCTATCTCCAACTAAAAAGCGTGAGTTTGAATCCCCACCCCCCACATGTTGTACTAAAACAAAGAAGTTTAGTGAAGTATCATGTTAAAATTTTGATTAAAAAAAATACGGATCCAATAATTGGATGTTTTGAAATTAGGATTGAAAGTACAGGGAGCAAAATATTTCTTATGAGAGTTTTCATATTCATTGGGTTAATTTTAACATATCTCACGCATAAAACTTAATCAAAATAGCTGATGAAGTACGTATATATATTACCATCTCAAAAGGTCGATAGCTCGATATCCATCTCTGTAATTTTTTAACTAAAAGAAGAATAATTAAAGCTACTCGTGGATAAAAAATGTTGAGAAATAATGACCATATTTATATTTAGTTTATTTGCGAATGTGATACTTTTTATATCAATATGAAAGTAAATAAAGTAACTATTTGTTGGGAAATTCATTGACTTGAATAATTTCCCGTTCCACAAGAAATATCTAACACAATCACAAATATGCAAATTGGAAGAAAAACAGTAATTATACTGGTTCACCACTAAGGGTAATTCACTAATATTGTTTAGGATTGGATACAATAACTCTCTCCAAAAATATCTCTAGAGGTCTCAACAAAAGCCCCAGTATTTTACACAATTAATACTTAGGAACAAGAATGAAAAACTCACAATAATCAAGATCTAATTACCCCGAATGTGTTGATCTTGATGAGCCTCAATGCCTCTGCCAATGCCCGAGCCTCTCCCTTGAACTGCCACAAAACCCTCTGAAAAAC